AAAAAAAAAAGAAAGAAAAAGTACAAAAAGAGGAGTCAAAATGCGACGACCAAAATCCCCGGTGTCCGTCGATTAACTTCTCTAGTTTCGTTGAACGATGGTTGGATCGCGCGTCGAAGCGTGTCAGCGAGCGGAACAGCGAATGGATGGTTTGGCAGACGCGTGTTCACCGCACGAGTCGCATTTTTCTGGATGTTTCAGCGCGTACAGCTTCCACGTGTCGAGCGAGGGCCAGATGCAGCCGGTGCCCTTCCCACCGGATGCGCTCAGCGGACAAGGGATACCGCGTCATGCGCGGCAAATTAATACCCTCAGCCACGGGGAGGTCGTGTGCGCTGTCACGATCTCCAATCCGACCAAATATGTGTACACCGGCGGCAAGGGGTGCGTCAAGGTCTGGGACATTGGTCAAGCAGGCACAGGAAGCACCAAGTCTGTCTCTCAGCTCGACTGCCTGCAGCCTGACAACTATATCAGGTCGGTTTTTATCTCTATTCTGTTTCCTTTTTTTCCTTTTTTCAACATCTTGTGATGTACACACACACGCACACGCACACGCGCACATATAATTTAATTTTTCTTCAAAATGATGTTTTCACCAATTGGTAAAAGCCAAGTTGATTATTAGAACTGAAATTAAACTAAGGTTCTATCAGAGCATAAAGTTTCCATCGAAGCGACATTAAAGCAGAAAATCTTCGCGATAGATACGTTTTTTTTTTTTTTTTAAATTTTTTAAAGACGTTTCGCGTCACTGTTCTACGTCTATGAAACATCAGTAAATAAGAAAAATCATAAATCGCTCGTTTCGGCTACATTACATTCGACAATTACGTTTTCTCCCTGGGTCCTCGGTTTAAAGAAATTTGCCCCTTGGCAATCGTCGGTATCCGTGCAAAATTAAATCGAATATTTCCACATAACTTTCTGCTTTGGGAATTTCAAATTCTGTCGCGCCGCGCCCGTTTCTATACATCGTGGGACATCAATTACGAGTAATTCGTTACACGCGCGTTGACCTATTTCCCACACATTTTTACCTCGGATTTAATTGCTTCAAGCATCAAAAACTCGTCCCGATTCTACCACAGACGATCTTCAGACGAGGCACCCACAGACGACCCGATAGACACATACCCGCATAAAATTCTCGTTTTAAAAAACAGCTATCGCCTGCCACCGATGCGAATGAATTTTACCAAACGCGATACCTCGCGATAAGTCACCGCGAGCGAAATCATGCAAGCCATCCCGCGTTTTATTCCGCGAGAGCCAGAGAGACCGGCAATCAAAGCAGAATCAAGCGAATCAACCGGAACGCCGTACGGTGTGAGAGAGAGAGAGAGAGAAAAAAAAGATGGCCGCGAGCGAACGGGGAACGTGGACATAATGAGATTCGATGTATTCGTCGCACGAAACGGTCGAAAAATCGCGGCGAAGTGTGTCCGGGGGTTCCGCGTAGAACAAACGCGACGGCGTGACGTTTTCACGATACATTTCGCGTTGGATGCACGTTTTAACGTGCCGCGCGCGCAATATGGCCGCCGCGTATAATATCGCGCCCCGTATATGTATATGACTGTTAATGTCCCGCGATACGCTGTGCCCGGTAATTGAAGTCCCCGGCCGCGTTTTTTGAACGTCGGGCCACACCGGTAAATTTAATACATTTCGTCCGGTAATGCATGCTCTAACCCCCCCCCTCCCCCTCCCCGCCCACTATGCCTCTTCTGCATTAAAAGGTACTTTATGAGCCATCGGTCACAGTTGCTAATCACGGCCGTTGCAGTTCGCCCGATTTCGACACGCTCCACCGCGTAAAAATGATTACCACTTTTAAAACCCTGTCAAACCGAGCGAAACGGCCGGAACTCGCGACGCGTTCTCCAACTAGTCTCGCACCAGCGTTTTCGTCCGGCTTGGGGCTTCGGTTCGTCGAAATCGAAATTCGAATTCGCCAAGACTTTTGCGAGTATGTTCGCTCGTCGCAAAGTGATTTCGCGTTTGACGATGTTGGTCGGCTGGTTCTGAATGTTCTGCTGCGTAGGATATAAATAGGAGAGTACGTGCTTGAAGTCGAATTTTCTCTTCTCGTAGAAAGTCCGTCTGTCGACTGGAATTTAAAAAACCGATGGTGCTTTGGATACAAGTTAACAAACGAAACTTTCCCTCGATTAAATCAATAAATTCGA